CCTCAGGCGACGGTCGGCCGGTAGATCCCCGGGAGGAAGCAGGCGGGGATGACGAAACTCGAACTCGGTCATTGTCGTCTTCCGGAGCTTTGAGGTGGCCATTAATGGCGGGTGCTTGAAGATCTAGCTTCAGAAGCTGAAAACGATGACCAGGGAGAGGGTGACCGGGGTTCATGCTGCGATATTCGTGCAGTGACGGAGAGCAGTGCAGTGGCTCAGCGGCTCGGGGCGACGCTGACAGGTTGTGACGGAGGAGCTCGTACCTGGTGCCGTGAGCTGCAGTGGACGGCGTGCGGCGGCCTCAGCTCAGACCTGGGGCGGCTGGTGGGCTTCAGCAGGCGATAAGCTTCCGTTATCGGCGTACGGCGGCGACCAGGGGGCGATGACCTTCTCGGTGAAGACATCTCCGGCTTCTGTGTCGGAAACCCAGATCTTCATCTCTGGATCTTTCTTTTGATTTTTCCAGAACAATTTTGGCTCATTTTTTGTGATTCGCATGAGATTTTTGATATGTTTTGGGAGGATTTCTCACTTGATTTTGCTCCAATATCTCAATGAAAGCACCATTGATGGATTATAGGGTATCCAATCTTATATAATTAGGAGAGATTTGAGCTAAAGATAGTGAAGAAGATGAATGAATAGTACAGTGTGAATGAGTAATTATGTTCTAGGGTTACAAATGGCTCCAAGAGGAGTATAAATAGAGAAATAATGGGTCGGGCCGCTAATATGGGTCCGATAGGCCGAACTACATAAAAGATTAATCTAGTACATAGAGATGATATATGAACTCTACAATAATACAAATGATATAAATGACGTCCGATAAGCGTGAGTGGGCCGCTGTCCGAGCCTAATAGTCGTGAGACCCGGAGGTCCGAGTCTATATACTCTATCAATCATCTGTATGTATTAGATTAGTCTTTTATGTAGTTGGGCCTATCGAGCCCATATTAGCCGTCCGACCCATCGTTTCTCTATTTATACTCCTTTTGGAGTCACTTGTAAACCCTAGAATGATTACTACACAAGCAATATCACTATTCATCATCTACTTCATCTCTATAGCTCAATCTCTCCATTTAATTATATGTTTGGATCCCTATAATCCAACATATAGTCTTCATCCATACTCCCATTGATCATATAGCAAAAAATTTTATTTCTTGAAAAACTTGAAAAACAACCATTTCGGTTATTATTTATCCGCTTTTAGAGCTTTTAGAGCTTCTTTAGTTCGGGGGTTTTGGATGTACACGGGGAGGTACACGGGATTGTTTTTTTTTTTTTACTAATTTATTTGAATTTGTTTGTTTTAGACTACAAATAACTATATAATATTATAATTAGTTAGACCATGTATTTTTATACATTATTTTATCTTCACTCTATTTCAATCTTCCTAAATTTAAAAATTATTTTATATTTATGAGAATATTCTCTAAATATGACTAAAACAAGAAATAATGGCAAAAATATTACTTCTAAAGTTTGGGTGGACACAAATATGACTAATTTTTGAGTTTGACAAAAAAGTGACCCACTCAGTTCGTATGTTATCGGCCCAATACGCGCTTCACCTATCTCGTTCTCCGCCTCTCTCTTCGGGGTGTTTGACGGATAAGTGTAGGATTGTAACATTTTATTCCAAATAACGCAACTTTTTCCTGGTTTTCTCTAATAGCGTAAAACGGAGTTGGCAGGTCCGAAAACAGAGAGCCTTGACGATGTCATACCAACTCCTCCGAATTCGGAGTTGGCAGGTCCGAAAACGAATTCCAAGAAAACGAATTCCAAGATGACCCATTCGGAGATGACCAACTTTAATGAGTAACCCCAACTTTAATTTGTTTGGCCTCAATTTTGTTGCTGAATGTTTCACTTCAGTAAAAAAAATTGTTAAATTTTTTTTTTAAAAGATTTTTTTGTATTTGTTATAAATCATAAGTAAAAATTGTACAATATTATTCATGAATACGCGTTTTACAAAAAATTGACCCATTCAATTAAATAAGCACACGTTTTACAAAATTGACCCAATAAATATTTTGAACACAAATACTGAACCCGAATAATAAAAACAGTTGACCCATTCAGCATTATTAAAAGTATCAATATACTTAATCAATGTGACGAGTTTTAAAAACAGTTGACCCATTCAGCATTATTAACTTGAAAGTAATTACAAATACAGTTTACAGTATCACATGTTTAATAATAAGTGACCCATTAAGTCATATGAAACTCAAAATTTAACAAAGTTCATAACATATTAAAAGTACATTTGAAACATATGGCTAATAAAACTGTTACAACATTAAAACAAACTACAAAGAAAAGAAATAATACACCATAAGAGAGTACAAATGTGAATCAATCATGTTGTGCTCTGCGTCTTGGACGCATATCCATCTCATTTGGAAATCTTGTTTCTTGACGGCGTCTTACTCGAGAACTTCTGGAAGAGTATTTAGGCGGCAGAAGAATGAACTCATTTTGTGGCCACTCATTCAGATTCGGCAATGGCATGATATCACTGGAATGTGCATTTATGTAAGAACTTAGTTTGTATACCTCTGGAATAAGATGATCAACAGGGCACTTAAGAAAATGGCAGACAGCATGCGCATGGACGCATGGCATGCCGTTCATCCTCCAACAACCGCACTCACAGACAAGTCTCGATAGATTCACCGTAACAGGTGTTGCATTATCCACGGCGACTAAGTAAATTCCTGTGTAGTGGTTGTGTGGAAGAACCATAGTGTGAGGTCTTTGGTGCCAACGCTCTATAATCTCTTTCCGAATGTTGTCCGGAAAATGATATCCAGCTTGCTGCCACATCATACCAGCACTACGACGTTGGGCGAAGAGTTGGACTAGTTTGTCAAAAGTTGCTCGTACAAGGGCAGTGATTGGCAATGTCCTACATCCTTTGAGAGCATTGTTGAAACTTTCCGAAAGATTTGTTGTCAAAATACCATAACGACAACCACCATCAAAACAAAGTGCCCACTTTTCTTGGGGAATGTCATTTAAATACTTGAATGCTCTCTCGTTAATACCCCTAATTTGTTGCATGAAATGGTTAAACTCACTTACAATCGGGGTACTTCCCGCTTGCCAACACAACTTCTTTAGTTGTTTACTTCTAAATTGGGACATGAAGTTGCTTCTAATGTGGCGAAGACAGTAACGTCTCTGAAATCGAGGTGTTCCCAATTCTTCCACATTCCGAAATGCATAATCTATAGCCGCATGCCTATCCGAGATGATGCAAACATTCCGATGCGGCCGTATGATGTGTGTCACAAGCAACTGTAAGAACCACGTCCAACTAGCACCATTCTCACTATCTACCACTCCAAATGCTAGAGGGTAGATTTCACGGTTCGCATTCATTGCCACCGCGACTAGGAGATGACCCTTGTACTTTCCGTACAAGTGAGTTCCATCAATTGACACAACCGGAAAGCAGTGATTGAACCCATCAATGGCCGCTTTTATTGACCAAAAAGCAAATTTAAATTCATATGTACCTTGGGTCTGGGTGTTATCACTTTGAATATCAATTATGCTCCCTAGGTTAGTATACGCCATTGCTTGTAACACTTTTGGGAGATCGTTGTACGATGTCTCCCAATTGCCAAACCGTTTCTCGAGTGCTAATATACGAGCATACCACGCTTTCTTATATCCAACATGAATGTTATACTTTTGGTGTATGTCATTCATTATCAACTTAATACTATACTCTGGTTTTATGCGAATCGTGGAACTAATTTCAGAAGCGATGAGCTTACTTGTAAGGAGTTTGTCGATTCTGCCTCTTGTATAATTCGGAAGGCAGTTATGGCGGGGTTGATACTTCTTTACTTTCCAGAGGTTTGTGCTCTTCACTTGTGATGCTTGAATGTGCCACGAACACATCTCATCGTAGACGCATTTAGCCCTCCAGTATGTTGCACGTTTTGCCTCACTCCGGAATGTTCGATATTCTTTCAAGTTTTGAATAGAGACTGCTTCTTTGAGTTCGTCATAGGAATCATATATTCTTCCCACTTCTATTGGGTCTACGACACGGTATGCGGGTTCAACAAACGGATCCTCTTGGTTATGTTGCATAACCCAAGACGAGTCACGACTATCATTACTATCTTCGGAAGCGCTCTCCTCTTCCGAAAATGAAAGATAGTTGTAGTCGGGATCCTCTTCATCCTCTTCATCCTCCACGTCCTCATGTGGCGGATCCATATCAACCACGTCCTCATGTGGCGGATCCATAAATCAATGGAACCTCCGCAGCCCACAAATCGTTCGCATCATGACAATATGCTGGAAGGTTCATCAACGGATAGGGGGTCCATTCGAACTGAAAAATATCTCCCAATTAGTAAGCACACATAGTTATTTATATCATTTAATTTATTGAATTTGAATGTAACAAATTAAAAATCATGTAAAATTGAATTGTACAAGTAACAAATTATACCTCATCTTCCGTCATCCGATCTAGTTGGTCCCTATATACCCGTAACGAAAATCTGTTTGTTTGCTGCCAATCATGTTGACACGCCCACCTAGATTTAGTTTCCATGAACAATAAATAAATAAATAAATAAATAAATAAATAAATAAATAAATAAATAAATAGCGTAGATTAAAAGCATAAATAGCATCTTGTAATACAATAATCAAAGTAACATAGATAATGTATTGTTTATTTAAACAATACCTAACAGCATACGGAAAATCCAATATATGGTCAAGTGGGAGATGACCTTGGGGCCGAACCATCGGCAATCTCTCCCATGCCCAGATTTGTAGAAGGATTAAACATCCTCCAATCTGTTTAGCCTGGGCCTTGGCCGCCTTACACATGGTGTGATACAGATAGGCCAAGACCGCTGAGCCCCAGCTCCATCGGCGCACATCTACTAAGTTCCCCTGCAAAACTCCAAGAAATACCAACTAGCCATGTTTCCACTAGTGGTAGGGAATAATGAACCACCTAACAACTGCCAAATGAGGGCCCTAGTGTGTTGAGTCGCCTCGTATTCAGTGCTCCAATCGGTTAATGGAATGGGGTGGATATTTGTTACTTTTATGGTAGCTGAATTTAAATCATCATCTTCTGGTATAAAACCAGCAGACTGTGCACACATCTGCAACAACGCTGCCTTATCAGTAATCGTGGGACCAGTGAGTGGTATGCCGTCAATGGGCAACCCCAACAACACTTGCACATCCTGTAAAGTCAATCCTACCTCACCAAAGGGCAAATGAAATGCGTGTACCTCGGGTCTCCACCTCTCCACTAACGCAGTCAGAAGTGACCAATCTAACTGTATTTGTCCTATTCTCTCGACACCGTGAAACCCAGATGCTCTCAACAACCGTACCACCCCAGGATGACGCGGACCATCATCAACATAGGCACATGACGAATAGTGATGGCACCTCAGTTTGTCATCTCGAAATGCTGATTCGTGCCACACACGATCGGCACGATGCTCACCGGATATCATAACTAAAACAGAACGATCCTGAGGGCCAGGGTGTGCAACTCGTTCAGCCATTACAACCTACAATTAATACGTAAACAAATACTAAATTTTTTATCATGTTTTTAATTTAGTGTTAATAAATGTGTTCAATAATATTATGTAGTTTAAAAGTTCTACAATTATTACTACTAATGGATATGAAGTAAGTAAATATGAAAAAGTTCTACAATTATTACTACTAATGGAATAATAAGAACAGATAATATTAAACTTCTTTTTGTAATAATAATAATAATATAATATAATAATAATAATAATAATAATAATAATATAATAATAATAATAATAATAATAATAATAATAATAATAATAATAAACTCTAACCTTTGAAGGAAGCCTTGTTTGTTTTGTTGGTATGAAAGTGTGGGAGGAGGAGGAGGAGATGTTGGTGGTGTGAAAGTGTGGAGGAGGAGTATTTATGCTGAAAATATTATCAATCTAGAATCCGACGGACCAATGAAATTGTTGGGAAATCGCGGAAATCTATCTTCTGAATTCGGAGTTGTCAGCTCCGAAAATGGCTGACATTTTCTGACAGAACTCTTTCGGAGTTGTCAGATCCGAAAAGCTTTAAAGTTTTCGTCAGGTCCTCGCAGGCACTTCAAATTCGGAGTTCAGTACTCCGTTTTACTCTTTTTCGTCAAAAAAATTACATCAACGTGATTCGGAAACACCTGACCAAAATCTACTCTGTTCCCTCATTTACTCCTCTCTTCGCGCCCACACGGTTTGTACGCAACCACCAATGAAGAAGAAACCTATCGCATACCTCTTCTCCGCCTCTCTTAGCGCCGTCGTTGCTCTCCTAGCGCTGCCACCGCTCTCATGCCATCGTCGTCGTCCCGTAACGCTTCTTCTTCTCATTTCTTCTTCGACCGCTTGCAACTGAAACCAGTTAGCTTCTCTGCCGCCTACAACTGAAATCGATAGTTTCTCCGTCGATGGACGTGCCTCTGTTGCATCTATCTTCCTCGATGGAGTGCCATCGGTACCGGATCTGCCGTCCTCGATGGACATCGACTCCGATTTCGGGCTACCGGTGCCGGATTGCCAACTCGACGTACCACCACTCCAATTTGGAGTCTCTGGTACCGGATCCGTCGTCATTGATGTCGGAAAGGGGCCTCATCGAAGGACTGGCAGGGGGCGGGTAGGGGATGGTGTTGGGGATAGGGAGTAGGGAACTAGGGTATGGGTGGGGATCTGGTGCGTTGGGCTAGGGGAGGGGAGTGGGTGCTGGGTACGGACTGGTGTGTAGAGCTAGGGGAGAGGGGGACTGGGGACTGGAGTAGGCTGCTAGGGGCAGGACAAGGGGCATGGAGGGGGGCAGGGATGGCGGTTGTGGACGGGACTGGGGCGGCGATGGATGGGCAGTGGTGGTGGCTGAGGGCGGGCAGGGGCGGCGGTGTGGCTCTGAGAAACTTTCTGGCGGTCACATTGATGAGAGTGGCGGCGGCGTCGCTGGAAAATCCGTGACTGGGCACTGGTGGGTCGGGTCACTGTGGCGGCGTCACTGGAAAATCCGTGTGACTGGGCACCGGCGTCGTCGCTGTGGCGGCATCACTATAGCCGGTGGCGGTTTTCAGGCGGCGCTGATCACCGATGGGAAGAAGTTGTGGATGTCACTGTGTGTTTGTCACTGTAGCGTGTCACTGTGGTTTGCGGCGGCATCATTGTGGCGGCGTCACTGTGACGATGTCACTGTGGCGGTGGTGGTGGTGGTGGTGGTGTGATTGGCGTGAAAATTTTGACTTCGACAACTCTCGGTGACAAGAAAAACGAACACAATGACATAAATTTTTTACATTGACATCATGTTTTCTAATCTCAAATATGTGACCATGTTAATCACTTTTTTGTCAATTTTTAAAAGTTCTCATATTTTTGGAAAATCAGTCCAATTTAGTAGTATTAAGGGAATAACCCCCTAAAACAATGATAAAATTCATAAATAGGACTATCATTGTTTTGTTCTCAATATATGACTCATTTACTCCTATTTTGGGAAATTTTAATAAACTCATGTTTTAATAGGACTAAACAAGTCCTATTTGGGAAATAATATATACTTAATCCTATTTATGAACTTTGTCAATGTTTTAGACCCATATTGAACAATTTCTATAAATTTTTATGTGACTCCTCTCCTTCCCTCTCCTCCAAAATCCCCCAACCAAATTGCCCCTTAATGACGAAAGAATGATAAAAATATATCATAGGTTTCTCGATTAAAAAATAGGATCAGGTTTGTGTGTGAAAAGAAGGAGACTGAATAAAATTTAACGAACAATAGTGTCCCCAATATAAATACAAACAAAATCCCCAACTCGACTTCAACTTCGCTGCGAAAGGGTGGTAGGACGTCTGCATCTTCACTACAAAGGACGCCTAGGTCAACGCATCCATGCTTCTCCTTGGGAAGGATGTCTCCATTGCTTCTTCTCATTCGTGTTGTTAATGCGATTCGTTGTTGGCCTTGACTTCAGTGTGACGTCGCCGTCGTTCTTTGTCTTGCCATCAATGCGTCACCACTTTTGCGCTTGTCGTTCTTTGTTGTCGTCGTCACCCCATCCCCGCCATTACCCTTCTCCTTCATCGTTTATTTTTCATTCGCGGGGAGATGAACGAAAATTGTCGTCCGCAAAGTTTGTCGTCTTCCTCAATGGAGCAATGTTCGAAGACCCGGATCAAGATCCAAAATGACTTAGGTCAGGGGAAGTGATAGGGGTGGGGGAGCATGGTAGGGGTGTGTGGGTTGTGGTGGGTAGGGATGGTTCGGTACTTTATACTGGATATCGGTAAATTTCAGTAACACATTTTGGTATATCAAAGTTCGGTTTGGTAATGGTACGATATCGGTAAATTATCATGCATTTCTCTCAATACAACAAATTATCATAGACTAGTGAATTATACGAAATCGGTGTTACTAGCAACATATTTAATCCATTATTAAAATGTTGCACAATACAAATAATAATCCTTTGATGTCGTATTCAATATTGAACAATAATTATTATTAGTATATTTAAGTAGTTTAACATGCCCTGTATTAAAAAAATAACTAATATGATGTTGTGTATTTAATCATTTTATTATTTAAAAAAAATGAACATGACTTTCGATATAACGGTATACTGGTATACCTTTCATTTTAAACATATACCGGTACCATACCAAATTAATTCGGCACATAACCATATTACACAGAAAATGCCGATATGCCTAAATCTTAGGTAAATTCGATATTTTTTGACATGAAAAATGTGGTATACTAAAATTCTAGTATTTTCCCCCGACCCTAGTGATGGGCATTGATGGGGTTTGGTTGGAAGTAACGGGGTTGAGGACAATGGGTGCGGGCAAGACTGGTCGGTGGTGTTACCGAGTGGGAGCCTAGAGGAGAAGGTGGAGACAAGGGCGAATGAAGTAGAACTCTGCAGAAGCCTGGTAGGGGAGGGATGGGCATCGTTGGTCACTGATCGGGGGTAGTGGTGTCACAAGTTGGGTGATGGGTCATTGGTCAGGTATGTGGGTCATCGGGTCGTTAGGGCGGCTTATGATGGGACGTTCGAGGCAGTGATTAAGGCGGCTCGTCACTCTTGTTTGGTCACCAACATGATTAATTGATTATTATAACTATAATTAATTAGCGATGATCACTGTATGGTGCAATTGTCACTAGCCGACGATTGATTACTATGGCATTGGGATAAGATTATTGCAAGATGGAGTCATTCCGTATTAGGCGGTGTAATTAAGTAGTTTTCAAACTGAGTGCTTATTTGTTCCAATTTTAGAAACTTAAAAATGTCTTTTTTTTCCATAATTTGTTTTTAATACTATTCATATCAAAATCCCAAATTTAAATTGTCGCCTGTGTCACCCCAGCACCACCACCTCCGGTCACCGGGGGAAAATGCCCACATGCATTTGCAATGCCATATTGATGAAAGTTTCAATGAAAATTTTGGCATTATCAATGAGTGATATGCCATTTTATTGGCATTTGCATGAAAAATGATTTTTTTTTTAAAATGACATTTTATTTATAAAGAATAACATTTTTTCTCACCGGTCGAATGTGATGGTGCTGGGAGGAGGTGGGAAAGGCATCATTTTTTGGGGTTTTTTACTATTTTTATTAATTTTTAATTGTTTTTCCTCAATGTTTAAGTTTTTATTTTATAAACGTTTATTAAATTTTTTATTAGTTTTCTACGATTGTTCATTATTTTTTACGATTTTATTATGGATTAAAACATTTCATTATGAATTAATATCCTTATTAGAAGTGTTTAGAGTAGAAAATTAATGTTTATTCATATTTGTGAATGATTTAGGGCTATGTCCTGTTTGTGATTTTAGGCAAATTTTAGGGCTATTTAGGACAATTACCATATGTTTAACCTAGTTAATTGTAATATTTTAATCGATCCAATATACAATATACTTTTTCTCTTTTCTTTTTGAACATAAAGAACTGGCTTTTATATTAAAACCAAGAAGATATACAAGATAAGATGTAGACAATTATGACCAAATCGATTGTGAGCCTTGAAAATAAACATAGAATCAGCCACCTCATACAGAGTAACTTGATTTCGCTAAACATAAAACGGACAATTTGAAGCCTTAAACAATCGGGATTGAAATACTGTCAATCAGATGTATGCCAGATGTCCAAATTTCCAAACAAATCAATTAAATCACCAAAGACTATTTCTAACATTCAACATTTTAATTATATACGGAGTAATTAATCAAAAAGTCACGTTGTCCAATTAAAAATCCGTGTAAACGCAAATTTATCAATAAAAATTTTATGAGGATCGCTTGTATAAACTATAAAACATGAGTTGTTATATCGTATGACCGGTAAACGATCAACACCATATACCGGCATACAGTTTTAGTCATTGAGTATTATTTTTTACTTCTCTTTTTTAAAAAAATGTTAATAACTTTTTTTTTGATCCGATTTTTGTAAAATTTATATCAACATTTTTTATTTTTCATGATCTTTCAAATGAGACCAATATTGTCTATGTAATTTTAACATATTATCGAACTATTATATTAACATATGTAATTTTACGTGTAGAAATATGTAACTCACGTCCAGTCAGGGCAAATGCAACGCGTGTGTATAAATATGTAACTCTATGTGTAAAAATATGTAACTTTACGTGTAAAAATATGTAACACGCGTTCAGACAAGTCAAATACAACTCGTGTGTGTAAATATGTAACTCGCGTGTATAAATATGTAACTTTACGTGTAAAAATATGTAACTCGCGTTCAGGCAAGCCAAATGCAGCTCGTGTGTATAAATATGTACTTTACGTGTACAAATATGTAACTTTACGTATAAAAATATGTAACTCACATGTATAAATACATAATATAATAAATTTTTTATATACACAATTTTAAGATAAATTGTGATTTCCACAATTATTTTTCTGTATTAAATTTAGTTCGATTTTCCTTATAAGCCAATACTGATTAATATAATAGTTCGATAATTTCTTAAAATTACATAAGCAATATTGGTCTCATTTGAAAGATCGTGAAAAATAAAAAATGTCGATATAAATTTTATAGAAATCGGATCAAAAATAAAAAAGTTATTACCATTTTTTAAAAACAAAAGGAAAAATATAAAGAAGTCCGTATACCGGTATACGATGCTCACCGTATACCGGTCATACGGTATAATTTGCCATAAAACAATAAAACATACTCCCTCCGTCCCGAAATAATTGTTCTGCTTTCCTTTTTGGTCCGTCCCGAAATAATTGTCTCATTTCCTTATTTGGTAAACAAATCTATACAAAACAGTGTCAAACAGTGCAAAACAGTGCGAAACAGTGTCACTACAGTGCCAAACAGTGTCGCTACAATGTTAAGTCAACTTTGTTTTCTTAATCTGTGTGAAAGTCAAAACAGGACGATTATTTCGGAACGGAGGGAGTAGTAACATACACTTACTTTTAAATATTCTCTCTGTCTCTCAATACTTTGTCAAATTTGACCGACACGAGAAATAATAAAACAAAAACTGTGTGATTGAGATAAGTGTAGAGAAAAGAAAAATAACATTAACAAGAAAATTCAATGATTAAAAAGAAAAATAATAAAGTTTTTGAGACATCAAAAAAGAAAAAAGATAGACAAATTTAGAAGAAATGAAAGAAATACAAAGTATACGAGTCAAAACGAATCTCGATATCAAACGTCAAAGTCAAGATCGCAAATGAAATCACAACTCCAAAAGTCACGTTGATTTTTTGAAAAAGGAAAAATATTTACTTCCAACGGTCGAATGTGTATTTAAGGAAACACTGGGCCATATATGCAAATACATCCATTTTTGTTGGGTTCCCAACGGTAAGAAAAAACTACATAATTGCAAAATCAGCCTTAGATGACCCATCAGGCCCAGCCCACAAGCCTTCCCGCGTAGACGCAAGAAAATGGCGCCAACTCTACGTGGCAAGGGGACACTATTCGCGCCAAAACCTAAGGATATATCAGCCCAACCTCTGTATTCCTGTCCTGCACATATTTTATTGCATAGTTCCAATCTGCCGATCTGATAATGGACTCCACAGAGCCTTCACTGCTTGATTTCTTCAAATCGGAGAAGGTGTTGGGCTCTAGTTCGAAGCCACTGAATTCGTCGCCGGCGGTTGAGATTCCGGTTGCCGATCCATTGACTTCTAAGACCCCCGAGAAGCCCATCTGTGCTCCTCGGCAGAGCAAAAAAGGCAATGCTGCCTTCTCTGTGAAACAGGTCAGAGAAGCGGCTCAGAAGCTCCATAGTTCAGATCCGGAACCATCTGCTAACGACAATCCATTTGCCGATCAAATTTTGAGGCACCCCGGACAGCATGATGTTTCTTTTCCTGAATCTTCTGTTACAAAGCCCAGGAAACCAAACAGTTCAACCAACCTTCCAGAAAAGTAAGCAATTTTAGAACTTGACATATCTTTGCTGGATTGTTGTGCTTACAGTTCCAAACATTAGAATGTTGATTATGTATTGCGATGTTTCCATACAGCAATGTGTTTTCTGGCTGGCCTTTAGATTTCGGTTTATTGGACACTATTTTATTATCATGATCTGTCTCTTTTTACTGAATAATTTCTGGTTTGCAATTCTACAGATTTCAGAATATTCTCTAATCTCTGTATTGGTTCTATGTATTGATATTTTTACTGATTATATGTCAGGTATGAAATGTTAGTTGAGTTCTTCAATTGCCTGGATAGTTGTATCAGATTACTAAAGATGAAGGGATCATTGGCAACATTTACCAATATTAGACCCAAAATTGAGAGCTTGTCTGACAGGTATGGTAATCAAGAACTGTAGATCTCTTTTATCGTTTTTACTCAGAAACTAAAGAATTATCCAACAGACAACGCTATTAGGCTATGCTAATTGATTGATTTTGTGTTAATTTTGTAGGACGTTTACTCACAGTCATCTTGCGCAATTGAAGTTTATTTTACCAGAGGCCATTGTATTAAAGAAGGTCCTTCTGCGGGATGAGCTTACACTATGTATGAAGCCTGATATATGTGTTACACTTGATGCCAGTACAATTGTGAATGAAGTAAAGACAAAATCAGGCAGTACCAGTATAGATATGAGGAAAGTATTTCGAAAGAGGCTTTTGGATTTTATCCAAGACCATCCACTGGTATGCACTCTTCTGCGTGTAGTTAATGCGTTTGGTTGAATAAGTCTCATGTTTCAGATCTGTAGAAATTTTGAAGGGCTAGTTTTGGCAAGGATGTAGGGGTGATATTAGATTGTTTCAGTTTTTAAAAGATGTGAAACAACAGAACAGATAAACTTAGGTCTGTTTTTGTTTAGCCATTTCAGGTGGGTTTAGTTGATTTACAAAGCCTAAGCTGTAAACCTGAATTCGGGCTATATATGATTAAATGGGTTTGGTCGTTTTGGTTGCTTTTGTAGGTTTTCTAATCAAATTCTAAATTTTGGACATCTAATTGAGCCTTGGGTTATACCATATTTGGTTGATACAAGTCTGTTAGCGGTTTGTGTTTGACTTTTTGTTTGTTTATTCGTTTCTTTGTTTTTGTGTATAAATCTAATAATAGTTGATCATGTTTTGTGCACATAGGAGCAGCCTGACATTCCAGAGGAGGAATTGCCACAACCATTTAATAAATCAAAACATGACACCTTGAGGAAGGCACCAAATGAGGCCTTGCCTGCACAGAAGCATAATATGGCCCCCAACCCCAACCCATCCGACCCACCAGCTTCATCTTCACATCTGCCTCATACTTTTAAGCGCAGCTTCTCTAAATGTGACCAAACCAATACAGAATCTTTTGTTAACACCCATCATAATGAACTACGCGTAAAACCAATCTGTACCAGATTCCCTCCGCATCCAAACACTCCCATAAAGGATCTACATCGATCCAAAACTGAAGAAAGAACTCCAGCTAAGCCTGTATCCACAACAGAAGGAGTGATGACTTCTACTCCCACGCCTCAACCTCCTCCTAGGAGAGGATATATGAGCCCTCAGGGTGGTTCATCTAAGCCCCCAAACAAACTGTTAAAGCGCCCTTTGGACTTTGGTATGCCAGTGAAGAATGAAGTCAGTGAGGCTGGAACATGTTCTTCAGCTTACCATGATCTCCAGGATGTTCTTTCTGAGAATCTTTTTGAATCGGTAAGCATAGTTATATCATTGGAGCTCTGCTGTTAAGTTGTAGTTATTGGAGTGGCCGTTTGGGATGGCCTTTACAAAACACTTCAATAAATAATTGTTTCGTATAAAAAGTAAAAAAAGATTGAATTGTAATCTAGAAAACCTTTTTATTTCAATTAAAGCAGCATATTGCTTCTGATATGGGAAAAGTGCTTTTATCTGTTTCAAAAGTCTATCCCAAACTAGCTGCATGTATTTATATACCATGAAGAAATACTAAATGGTGTGCTTGTGCAGATAAGAGAGAAAGAAAGGAAGGCATTAGAGGAAAGAAATCCTGCGATCTCACAGGCAAAGTGGAGAAAGCAAATGATTGCAGGCCTACCTAAAATGTTTGACACAATTTATTTCCTATTCCAATCCATCCAACGCTCAGTTATCACAAAACAGGAGCTTATGCACAAAATACTTGTGAACTACATAGACATTATTGATAGCAGTAAGCCTCTTGCCAACAAACAAAATCTTAAAACTACTTAGTATGGAGTATTACTTAGATGAAGCTATGTTCCAAGCTCACTAAGTGTTAATTTGCAGGAGAAGCTGAAGAACAACTCAGTTTACTGTATGTCCTAGCACCAGAGTGGATTTATGAAAAGATGTCTTTAAGTGGTGATCTCCTTATTTGGTAAGTGTATGATATTGCTCATCTCCAGTGTTTTAACTTTGTTTTAACTATCAATGTATCTGAACTGATTTCATCTTGTGCAGTGTTAACAAAATACAATCCCCAGATTCAATAAGGATGAGACTGGCAGATGCAATGTGAGAGGAGAATGATGATTGAGGCCTTAGTTTTTGTATATTATTAAGTTAATCTTTGTATCAAACTTTATCTTTAATTATATGCTTTGAACTAGTGAGCTTAATTTGATAATGCTCAGTGTAGCGCAATTAGGCCTTGAGTTGTAACAACTTGACATCGTTAATTTTGACAACAAAGATAAGCTCCCCTTCAAGATGAGCAAAGGGAAGGGAGTTCCATGTTCAGTATACCAAAAGCAAAATCAAATCATACAAGTATGCAATATTAGAATACCACTATACTGAATATGTTGTGTTTTCATTTATAGGTATACATCAATCACTTATTATTTCTATTATATATAAATTGTATTTAGTGAAATAGGCATGGCAATTTTGCTAGAGGGATTTTGTTTTTTCCAATTGAGGTACATGCAACTCTTAACTGTATTTGGTTTTGTGCTCACTATCCTCATCTCTTGACAATCTCTTCGTTGACAACGATATATTTAGAGCAACTCATGGGGGAACAGATTCAAGATCTAGCCTAATCTCCTAGCCATAGTCAACCTTACTATGTTGACAATGCTACATTTCTACTTGACTAATATTTACTCTACAATAATATCACATTATCACCTTTCATCCATTTGCATTAGAGGGACTATGAATGTAAATATAAAAATACAAGTACAAATTATAGAGTTAAAACCTATCTAAATCACTTTAATAGCAGTATTAAAATATTCATGATCGACGATTGTATTCGGCGTCACAATTGGAAATGTATGGATTAGGGTTTGGAATTATACTACACTCGTCTATAAATTACATTTATACTTGTATTTATATACTCTGTATTTTTATATTTTATATTTACATTTATTTTTATAAAATCACATTTTTATTTACATTTTTATATTGATTTGATGGAGTATATGAGTCCAGACCTCATGACCCACATACTAATAAGATTAAGAGGAGCACAATTGTCATCCAGTGTGTCAAAGAAGAGTCAATCCGGAATACGCTCCAGAAGCCAAGGAGAAGACTTATCTCCATCGACCGAGCGTCCCCATCCTGGCAAGGTCTCCATCGGCCGAGCGTCTCCGTCGGCCATGTCTCCGTCGGCCGAGCGTCTTCGTCGGCCATGTCTCCGTCGGCCGAGCGTCTCCGTCGGCCAGAAGGAACTCACAGAACTAGACTTCTCATGTAATCAGTCCAATAGAGGCATTATATTGTAATGGGTCTCCCAAGCTCAAGACTTGGGAGCCCAGCCCACTTTTCTCTCCTATAAATACTCTCTTTGGGAGCCATGTAAAGGATTGGAAATTCATTAATACAAATCACTTCTCTCTCCGTCTCTCCCCTCTCTCCGGACTTATAATCTATCATTTGGTGCCCTCGTTGAGAGCTAGAACAAATCAAGTGAGATCCTCCCAACCCATAACGTATCACACGAACGGATGACATGGTATCCCTTCGGCCAAGATCATGGTAGTAAGCCGGTTCCCCTCTCGCACAGGACGGACGTCCGCTCAGCCTGAGCATGGAGAAAACAACTCCTTTTCTCTACCAGGCGGTCACCAACGTTCAGTCAAAACACAATCCACGCTTTCACCCTGCGGCAAGGGAAGCCTTAGTTGATCCCTCAGCTAGTGTATCCCTCAGCCAAGGACCAGAAACCATGGCAACAACAACAACCAATGGGACGGCAATAACACATCATCCACTAAGCCATCAGCTCGGACAGAGGACAGCAGTGCCTTCGACCAAGGAAAGCTGATGGGTACCCCTCGTCTACAACGGCTCCCTCTTCGGCCAAACCTGAACAGGAGGACAGATCTCTCCCCCTTCATCCAGGGGACAGGAGTGGCTCCACCCTCGGTCAGCCCGAGCTTTCACCCTGCAACAACGAGAAGCCTCAATGCACCCCTCGGCCAGTGCAGCACCTCTGGCTCTTCCTCCGGTCAACATGTCACGTCTCAGCGCAGAGGAAGGACAGTTCCTTCGGCCAAAGTTGAACCACCCTCGTCTCAAGGTGGCACAGCCCCGACCAAGCAAGCTCATAGGGACGAACGTGCCTACCCCTTAGGCCATGCGCAACGCGGAAGGTAAAAGCTGTTGCCATGAACAACGCACAAATTGCGCTCCACTTATTTTTATAAATTTAAGTAAAGGATGCCACACAGCACAACATCGCATCGGCCCCTTAGAGCGAAACGCTCAGGTATGGCCGATGATGCCCCAACACATCGTATCAGCCCCTTAGAGTGAAATGCTCAGGTATGGCCGACGATGTCCCAGGACGAGGGGTCCGCAAAATGGCCCACGTCTTGAAACGAGAAGCTCACCGTGTCGTCCTCACGCTTAAACGCAGGGCGGCAAGCCTGAAAGAATGGTCGAGGTGACAAAATTCCAAACTTGGGGTTGGGAAACGGTAGTCATCGGTTGATTGCATTGATTTTTGTGTGTTTATATTTTTACTTTTAATTAGTTTTTACGGTGTGTTGTTGTGGTAATTGCACATTTACGGTGCAATCATTTTATTTTTCTAGTTTGTTGTAATTTAGTAAATTTAGAATCATCATTAGCAAGAATCAATCAAGGATCAACAAAGGATCATGGAAGGGATCTTACCAAATCAAAGGAAGGTGCAAGCTAAGGGAGCAAGGAATCATGCAAAAAATGTGATTTGGTGTCATAACTAGTCGGGTATTTTTGATACCCGGTCGTGTATGACTTGACCCGGAGATTTACAAGATCAGATAAAGCAAGAGAACGTGGGAAAATCAGATTTGGTCATATATCCGATCGGGTATATTGACATACCCGATCGGGTATGACTAGATTTTAGCACTTTCGTGGCTACTGCAATATATACCCGGTCGGGTATTCTCTACACCCGGTCGGGTATCAGACCCAACCTCACCAAAATACCTATAAATACACCTCTTTTCCTTCCCATTTTAATATCCCTTCTTCCATATACTTAAGCTCAACTTAGAATAATATTTTCTTTATATTTTTCTAGCATGTTTAGTCTCCAAATGAGGAGCTAAACTTCCATTTCTTTGTTTTGCTCTTGAAGCTTGTTGATTATTTAAAGTTGTGAGTTATTTTCTTAACTTCTCTCCTTGAATATTAATTCTTCCCTTAATCTATCTCTATATTAATGTTGGGGAGTGTTGCTAAGATGACAATTAGTTAACATCTCAATATTAATTATTACTAGAAACGATCAACGAACCGATGGTTAATCGTTGATGGTTTCACAAGTAGGTAACTTCGGTTTATTAATGCACGGTCATGGTTAATAAACTTAAGCGGGATTACTTTTGTTGGTTAAACTGAAACCGTTGTGTTGAGGTTATCAATCTCAATTGATTTCATCAAAGAGTTAGAAAGATTAAAGAAAAAATGACATAAGTATTACTCTCCCACTTTCTATTTCCAAAGATATGACCATTATTAAATTGGACAAAAAAGTGATTAAATTAAAGTGAGCATTCAAAATAACAGCCCGGATTCTGTCATTCTTCAGTCAAACTAACAGTCTGGAACCCATTCAAAATAACAGCCTGAACCCATTCGTCCGCTTCGCCATTCCTAAAAAATCATCAACCTCCACACTGAAGGCTTCACCGCCGCCCAATCCACGCCGTCGCCGCCCCTAACCTTGAGACTTCGTCTTCGTCCTTCCACGCTGCTCCCTCCATGACTTTGTCGCCAGCCTTCCACAACGTTGTTCACTACTTCATCGTCGTCGTTGTATTCGTCGCTGCGAAGCTGCCATCGCTGTCTTCGTTGCAACAACCCACACCATCTCGTCCAGGTTTGTAGTCTTCTTCTTCACCTTTCTCTGGCTGAAGATGTTGGCGAAGACCGTCAGATGCGGAAGGCCGCCAACAACGACGGACAGATCAGTATCACCTTTGACTTTGTCATCCGGCTAGATTTAGGTTGATTCAAATGGGCGAGTTACAGGGATGGCGGCTAGCGATGGCTTGGCGGCAGAGGTTGGGGCTGGGGAGGGGAAATGGTGGGGCGGGTCGGATCTGGGTTGAGGAGGGTAGGATTGGGACTGTCTGGTCGTAGTTGAAGCTTGAGAAGTAGTTAGGGGAAGAGGGGCGGGGCTAGAGCGGGATGAGGCAAGGTGGAGGGTTTCCGATGATGGGGAGTTGGGATGGGCAGGGGAGTGTATGGGGAAACGCAGTGATGGTGGGGTGGTGGTGGCGATTGGTACGTGGCGGCAGTGACTGGCTAGGGGCGGCGACAGTCACTGGCTAGAGACAGCGGCGACCGTCACTGGCCAGAGGCATCGGCAGTCACTAGTCGGAAAGCGGCGACAGTCACTGGCTAGATGGCGGTCACTGTATCAGTGACCGGAGTTGGGGCGGAAGTCACCGGTTAGTGATTAGAAGTCACTGGATTAATGACTGGTGAAAGTCACGGCGGCGACGAAAACGGTCGGTGGACAGGGAGTCACTGGGGTCGGTGGGCCGGAGTCACGACAGCGGCGGCGGCGACAGCAGCGGGGGCGGCGGTGCTGGTGACGGCGGCGGTGGTGACGACGACGGTGCTGAGGTCGACGGTCAGAGGTGCTGATGGCTGCAAAGGAATATTATTAAAATAATCAATGTATGATTAAATATAAGGAATAAATGACTTTTAGTCACTTTTTTGGAAAAAATTAAAACAAGTCACATTTTTGTCTTTTTCATTCATTTTAGTAATATTGGAATAAAAAATTAAATGCTACTATTAAATCGGTATAAGGCGTTGTTATATATTTGATTAATAGTAAGAGTTATTAATGAACGGTCTTTGTTAATAACTACCCTCGATGAATTGGAGATACTCCTCGATTGAGTATTCGAGGGGATAAGTTATAGATATAACAAAGATCAACTAAATATATCAACAAGTAGAAAGTAGCAAAGTCAAGTCCCTTTTATCTTTGAATTAAATCACAAATAAGTTGTTCATCTTATGTTGTAATTAAATTAAATCATTCAACCCCCAAACCCCCCTTTAATTACTATTTCATAAAAAGAGAATTATTTATTTCCCTGTGGGTACGAACTCTACTACGCTATACTACGTATAAGCGTTAAGTATTGAATTTATTTTGACGCACTACGACAAAGTGTTCGTCATCGGTAACCGACCAAAAGCCTGAGCCCGCGTCGTAAATAGACGACGGGACCCCCCAAGATTCAGGGACGATCCAGCACTAGAGGGCTAACAGCTGCCCTCCTGGACTCCCTATGGGCAGAGGGAATAGCAACCCCCTCAATCGAGCCTGAAAGAAGGACCCACACTCCTCTCTCAATGAAGTAAAGAGGAAGAAATAAAAGAGAGACAACCGAAGGACCGTGCACTCGCAGGTCTCGAGCGAAATCCCTACAAATAAAAAGAGGGAAGC